CCCCCCCCCGCAAAAAAAAGGCCGCGGAGGAGACTACGTTCCCCACCCCTGCTACTTGCACACATACAAGGCCCCTGTCCCCATCCAACAACCTATCCAACTAGAAAAATTGGGAGACTGGGTTCTAATGTAATCTCTGTAATGGCGGCTTGTAAAGGTAAGATATAGAGAGGCTAGAAGAACGCTTTTCTCATGTCAAGCTAATCTAAATGATACAGGGTCACCTCTTTTCATTTCAGGAAATGAAGAAAAAAATAGTGTCTGTGTTTTTTATATGATACAGAATGACGAGGCTCTTTCAGTATACAGGGTTCCTGTATTCTGCCATTGCTTTCTCTATCGTGATTCACTGTTGTGAACTATCAGCGAAGAACGATAGTCTTTGGCGAGGGTTATTGAATAAGGTTACATTGATGAAATGTTTTGAACCTTTTGCTAGATTGTAGAATACCGCTCACTGAATTTGAATGGTGGCCCGGTGTTGTAAAATCGCTCAAAAATCGCTGATGATTTGTCCTGAGAACAAGAGATCTAAGTAGTTTGATTAGAAATTATAAAAGGTCTCTGAGTTCAATACATTCTTCCTGGGAATTAAGTTTGGGCTTACAACGTTCGGATATAAAACGCCTTGAATAATCGCAAGTTGACGGGGCTGACCTCGTCAATTGACAATTCACAACACAGGCGATCCAAGCTCTCGATGTTATCCTTTTTTTTCACTTTTATGCGACCGTTCAGCCTAACGTGACATATGGTATATACTATTACATAACGACCGAATTTGACTACGCGAAACGTGACTCTTGCCTTGCAGCATATGGAGGTGTTGTGTTACAACGGTTTGAATTTATAAAGGTTTGTATAAGAATGTAACGGCTTTGCTTGAAAAGTCAATTATTCTTATATTTTATGAATAAATCTACTTACCCTGTTGCTGTGTTGTATTCTTTGTTGTTTGCCAGCTTCTCAGGCCGATCTAACGCGATTTCGGCCGGAGGAGCTGGCAAACAACAGGTTTACCCCAAGAAAGTGTTCCATAAGTATTTTATACCATGCCATAGACAATGTAGTGGCTAACATAATCAATGCAGTGCACAATGGAAAGGTTGTAGAAATATGGTTGAGAGTACAATGATTAACAATTAACAAATATAATACCACTTGATATCTTATATCTGACTGGGTTTTAATTGTGTTAGAATGCAGCAGTATTGCAGCATCTCAGCATCTCAAACCTCTCACATTAAGACGTATATATATTTATGTTTTGATAATTGTTTTCAGGCAAATGCAAACATTGTGGCCGGCTCTTTAACCACTTATCAGCTTACAAAGAGCATAAATGAACTCATACAGGAATGAAGTCGTACACATGCAAGCATTGTGATAAGTGTTTTAGCAAGTTATCATCTTGCAACCAACATGAACGAATTCACACAGGAGAGAAGCCATATACATGCAAGCATTGTGATAAGTGTTTTAGCAAGTCATCAGCTTGCACACAACATGAAAGAACTCACACAGGAGAGAAGCCATATACATGCAAGCACTGTAAAAAGTGCTTTAACACCTCATCAGCTTGCAGGAAACACGAACGAACTCACACAGGAGTTAAACCGTACACATGTAAGCATTGTGATAAGTGCTTTAGCCAGTTATCACATTGCAAGGAACATGAACGAACTCACACAGGAGTGAAGCCTTACAGATGCAAGAATTGTAAAAAGTGCTTTAGCTTCTCATCAGCTTGCAAGCAACATGAACGAACTCACACAGGAGAAAAACTGTATGCATGCCAGCATTGTAAAAAGTGCTTTACTTTCTTATCAAATTGGAAAGAACATGAACGAACTCACACAGGAGAGAGGCCGTATACATGCAAACATTGTAAAAGGTGCTTTAGGCAGTCATCACATTGCAAGGAACATGAACGAATTCACACAGGAGAGAAGCCGTATAAATGCAAGCACTGTAAAAAATGCTTTAGGCGCTCATCATATTGCAAGCAACATGAGGAGAAACACGTAAGAGACAGCTCTTTGAAATAAAAGTAACATGATCATTGCGTTAAGTAAGAAGACACCTTCAGAATATTAAGGATTTGTGGAGAGTTTGTTTTCAGGGCTTTAAAGGTGTCAAATTACTTTCCAGCTAAAATAAACAGAACTGAACGATGTTTACTAAAACTTTTTGTTTCTAAATGGAGCTGAAGGTTCAAAGATGTCTGGAATTTGAGTATGTTAAATACCTCATCGTTCCTTCTTTGGTACAATTTGGCTACATACCAGGCTTGATTTAGTCTTGCCATGGGTATTTTGGTTTGTCTACGTCCCGCATAAATGTGAACTATTACATGGCTCGACCAAACTCGCCGGCCATCAAAGCGTACCAAAAAGGGATGATGACAAACCATACAGATCTTAAAATGTAAATCAAGCTGAGCGAATTATTTAAGTATTAAATATTTAATTCGGGACATGGGGAACTGTTCGTAATAGAGAGGTGTCCGAGAGAGAGAGGTATCCTTAAGGAGAAATTCGACTGCAAGCGATAGGTAAACTAATAAAGGACTTAGTGTTGGTTATCATGTCTCTATATTCCTCCTGGCTCCTTTGCTCTCAAGATGGCAAAGAAGCCAAATAGTAATAAGAGCAAATACCAAATAATAGATTAGGGACATGTAACCATGACGTTCAGCGGGGTCATGTGGCATGGACAAAATAATGTGTGCAAACAAACAAATGTTGAGGGGTTAAGTCTCAGGAATATGTTGCTGGGACAAGTCTTCTCCTTTTCCAATGTATACTTTTTGTTTCGTGCAACACAAATTTCAGGGAAAATTTGTTCCTGCGACATGTCATGGCCTACAACAGTGTTAAAATTAAGTGGGGCTATATTTCGGCCAGCAAGCTCGAAACCGAGCTAGCAATTATTTTTCCCCTGTCCATTTCACTGCAAACCAAGGCCATCACGAGTTAGTTTAGAGTCCCTGGGACTGGGAAATATCGTTAGAGTTCATGGAAATCAAGCCAAAGTTGGCCAAAATCAAGGTGCGCGTAAGGCGGTCTCGGCTACTTTTTCAGTGTTAAAATTAAGTGGGGATATATTTCGGCCAGCATGCTCGAGACCGAGCGTGCAATTATTTTTCCCCTATCCATTTCACTGCTAACCAAGGCCATCACGAGTTAGTTTAGAGTCCATGGGACTGGGAAATATGGCCCAAGTTCTTGGAAATCAAGCCAAACTTGGTCAAAATCAAGGTACGCGTAAGGCGGTCTCGGTTACTTTTTCAGTGTTAAAATTATGTGGGGCTATATTTCGGCCAGCAAGCTCGTAACCGAGCGTGCAACTACTTTTCCCCTGTCCATTTCACTGCAAACCAAGGCCATCACGGGTTAGTTTAGATTCCCTGGGACTGGGAAATATCGTCCAAGTTCATGGAAATCAAGCCAAAGTTGGTCAAAATCAAGGTGCGCGTAAGCCGGTCTCGACTACTTTTTCAGTGTTAAAATTAATTGGGGCTATATTTCGGCCAGCATGCTCGAGACCGAGCGTGCAATTATTTTTCCCCTGTCGATTTCACTTAAAACCAAGGTCATCACGACTTAGTTTAGAGTCCCTGGGACTGGGAAATGTCGTCCAAGTTCTTGGAAATCAAGCCTAAGCACACATGTAACTCGAAAAGACCTTGTCCTTCAGTGAAATCGACTAGCCAAAAATAATGGAAAGCTTGGTTATGTGCATTGCGGCCGAAATATAGCTTACTGAGACACTGGAAAAAAGCAGAGACCGGGCTGCGTATACTTTGATTTTGTCTTTTCTAGTCATGATTTCCAAGAGCTTAGAGGATATTTTCGAGTGCCAGGGACTTGAAACGAACCCGAGAAGACCTTGTACTTCAGTGAAATCGACAGGCCAAAAATAAGCGAAAGCTTGGTTATGTGCATTATGGCCGAATTATAGCTCACTCAGACACCGGAAAAAAGCAGAGACCGGGCTGCGCAAACTTTGATTTTGACCTACGTAACCTTGATTTCCAAGAGCGTGGACGATATTTCCGACTCTTAGGGACTTGACACTAACTCGAAAAGACCTTGTCCTTCAGTGAAATCGACAAACCAAAAATATTCGAAAGCTTGGTTATGTGCCTGCTGGCCGAAATATAGCCTCCGTTAAACTTAGTCAGACACTGGAAACAACCGGCATAGACTGGGCTTCGCAAACTTTGATTTTCACCTACGTAGCCTTTATTTCCAGGAGCTTGGACGATATTTCCGAGTCCCAGGGACTTGAAACTAACTCGAGAACACCTTGTCCTTCAGTGAAATCGACAAGCCAAAAGTAATCGAAAGCTTGGTTAAGTGCATGCTGGCCGAAATATAGCCCCTGTTAAGCTTACTCAGACACTGGAAAGAAGCAGAGAGCAAGCTGCGCAAACGTTGATTTCCACCCACTTAGGCTTGATTTCCAAGAGCTTGGACGATATTTCCGAGTCCCAGGGGCTTGGAACTAACTCGAAAAGACCTTGTCCTTCAGTGAAATCGACAAACCAAAAATAATCGACTGCTCGGTTATGTGCACTGTGGCCGAAATATAGCTTACTCAGACACTGGAAAAAAGCAGAGACCGAGCAGTGCGCAAACTTTGATTTTCACCTACCTAATTGTAGGCTTGATTTCCAAGAGCTTGGACGATATTTCCGAGCCCCAGTGACTTAATTGACGCCAACTCGAGAAGACCTTGTCCTTCAGTGAAATCGACAGGCGAAAAATAATCGAAAGCTTGGTTATGTGCATTGTGGCCGAAATGTAGCTTACTCAGACATTGGAAAAAAGCAGAGACCGGGCTGCCCAAACTTTGATTTTGATCTACTTAGACTAGTTTTCCAAGAGCTTGGACGATATTTCCGAGTCTTTTTCATAGAGTCTACCTACCAAAGCAAGCATGGTATCTTGAATAAAGTCATTAGTCAGGCTAACAGGTTTAGTGTGAGGATACAAGGCATCTTCAGTGAGATCTAGGCAGAACTAAGCAGCCTTGAAGAGTTTCTTTTCATTTGTACTGTTATCATTGATACTGCCAGCGTAATAAACACACTTAGCCTTTTTCC